GTTTTCCGCAGCATGTACCATGGATATTGCTCGATGGTAAACCCTTTTTGCCTACCTGAGCGCGCGACAAATGACCTTCTTCCCCTCAGGTTCCATTTCCTGGAAAAGGTCGTATTTTCCTCCCACGATGACCAGCGGGACCGGAAACGGAGTCATCTTGTCCTGGTCCTGAAAATAACCTCGTCGTTAAAACCCCCATATTTTTTTTTTTTTTCAAATTATGAAGCATATTCGCACAGCGTAAAACGAGATTAATTAATGTTATTGACTGCAATTTATCCTGGGCTGATTTTCCTATGATATGCACTGTACAGGACGTGGCTAGTTTAGTGCAGGGGAAAATGGAACGGGGCTGAAAACGCGAATCTGTGGCAGGCCTCAGGCAGAGCAGGAAGGGGGTGGGGGCTCGAGACAGGAAATGGACTGGGTGGGTGAAGAGAAGAAGAAGAAGAAAAAAAAAAGGAGGGAGGAGAAGGTAGAGGAGGAGGAGGAGGAGGAGGAGGCTGCGTGAGGACAAGAACAGAAGACAAACCAGGCGTGACGAAATACAGAAAGAGTTAGATAGAAAAAAAAAAACGAAGATTGGAGCCGTAACCTGAGGCCCTCTAAGACTCACCTGGTGGTCAGGCACTCGCCTCTTGGCCACCGCCTCCTCCAGCTGCTCCTTCAGACCCGGCGCCTCCGCAACCACCTTCTGTATCTCCTCCTGAGGCGCAACAGAGAACAGTGATAAAGTTAGTGGTTCTAACGGCTTAGACACATTCAGACGACGTGTATTAAATGCAATCAATCAAAGCTTTTTGGACTTTAAGGCGAGACATTGATTAACGACCTAAGGTAGCGAGAAGTCTTTCAAGGTCCGCCCAGATGGTCTCCGGGCGAGAGAGGTCCAGCATGAGAACCACGGTCAGCTGCGACAGACTGCGCGGCGTGATGGGCGTGGCCAGCAGGGACGTGAACAGCAACCCCCCGCCGAGCTCCCACAGGTGACCCACGTCCTTCACCTGTCGGTCGGTTAAACAGAATCCTTGAGCTTTCCGAATGCAATCATGGAGCTTTCCGACTGGCAGAGGCAATCATGGCAACAAACTCCCTATGTCCAATACTCGATTTAACACAGGCACTTACCAGCGTCTTTCCGCTCTTCCTGCCATAAGTGTACTCGAGGGCCAGGGTGGTGCGTGGGGGCTCCTCGCGGTCAAGGAACCTCTGAAGCAGCGTCGTCTTGCCCTGCAGAGGCGGCCAGACGACACCGAGAAGGTCACAAGAAAGGGTTACTTCCGGGGTCACTTCAGATCACTTCAGACACAGCACCCTCCCCGTTAAGCTTCCAAAAATAAAGAGTAATTACACTAACAAGATTTTAATGAACATTTGTGATAATATACCAATTTATGTGGGCAATGTTTACTGCCTTGGTCATGCGATAAGGTCGGTCGATTATCATGCGGAAATTCCATTCGGAAACGCAAAAATTGAGGGTAAAAGTGATGGCATGATAGGACCCTAAGAGAAGGTCGAGAACAACAAAAACAAAACCTAAATTCAGGGTTTAAAACGGTATTACTGAAGCTACATATTGTCCATTCTTCCCTTCTACATAATTTTTTAAAATGATGTACTTTAATATCACGTATTCCTCTGCTTCTAAAATTATAAAATGAATCAGTTGCACTATTTCACATTATTCCCCCTTTCTTTATCCTGATGAATGCAAGTACAGCTGTTGATTCGAATTAAGGGGAAGGAAGGAAGGAAGGGAAGGGAATGAAGGAAGGGAAGAAGGGAAGGAAGGAAGGAAAGAATGAATAGGAAGGAGAGGAGGAATGAATAAAGGAAAGAAGGGAGGAATTTTGAAGGAAGGAAGGAAGGGAGGGAGGAATGAAGGAAGAGAGGAATGAACGAATGAACGAATGAAGGAAAAATGCATTGTAGTTAAACGTCCAGCAACATATTTATTGGGAATCATAACAATCAATAAATGATAATAATCATGATAGTAATTGTAACAACAAAAACAACAATGATGATAATAATATAGATAAAAACAATAATTACATCACTAAATACAGGGAGTGTGATTAACATGGTTATAGTAATAACGCAAATAAAAGGGTTTTATTTGGGGAACACGTAGACACAAACAAATGTGTGTGTGTGTGTGTGTGTGTGTGTGTGTGTGTGTGTGTATTTATGTATGTATGTATGTATGTATGTATGTATAGATAGACAGATATACATATAGATAAAGACAAACAGAGAGAGACAGACAGACAGACAGACAGACAGAAAGAAAAGAAAGAAAGAAAGAAGAAGAAAGAAAGAAAGAAAAAGAAAGAGAGAGAGAAAGAAAGCAGCCAGAACGCCCTCAAGAGAAAGCAATACAAATGACACTACATCTCCAACGTCACAGAAAGAGAGAGAGAGAGAGAGAGAGACAAAGAGCGATCAAAAACTCTGAAGTGGCTGTTGCAGCTGTTCTGCAAACACGACAAAGACCTCCTGTAACCCGGGCAGCACGACTGACTGGGGGTCTCTTGCCATCCCTCGGGCCTGACGCAGCATCCCGTGGCGCCTGGTATTAATTCCGGTGTTGTATGGAGCGGCAGGGGTCTGTATGTGGCTCTTTGGGTGAAGTGGATCACCTGAATGTGTAGTCACGAGACCTAAATGCTTGTTGGATGATTGAAATATTTATCTATTTTGATTATTAATTATTATTATTTATTATTATTGTAATTATTATTATTATTATTATTATTATTTATTATTATATTATTATTATTATTATTCATTTGTTATTTATTTATTTTTTTTTAATTTCTTATTCTTATTTTTTTTTATTATTTATTTATTATATTATTTGTGTGTGTGTGTGTGTGTGTGTGGTGTGTGTGTGTGTGTGTGTGTGTGTGTGTGTGTGTGTGTGTGTGTGTGTGGTGTGTGTGTGTGTGTGTGTGTGTGTGTGTGTGTGTGTCCGAAAGTAAACTATGATTGTATTCTCACAACGACGGGGCTTTCTTAATTAGTATCGTAAAAGTGAGTCATACGCTATATAAAATATTGATATAAGAATATGATGCCGGTTCTCGATTCTTTTTTTTTCGCAGAATCACAATTTCTGTTCAGTATTTTATGACAAACAAATGGAAATTATATGATTTTTTTTTTTAGCTGTAATTCCGACTTCTTGAAAATGAATATATTCTATTCTTTTCTCTCATTTTCGAAGCTTCAAAACTTTCTTAAAACTCTGTCAATCGTTTCATAATGACATGAATCATATATATTCATTCCATAGTAACCTATTTACAATACATCCAATCAATATTTCAACATACAACATGCCAGACCACCAAAATTTATCTCACACATACACCAGGTAGTAAGTAGGCCTATCTCTTGCCTCGTCTAAAAAATGGCTCGAAACCTACCATATTGTAAAGTCCGGTCGCTGTTTACTCAATATTCAAGGTATCTTCTATCTGATATCCTTTTAATAATCGGTTAATACGAGTTAAGTGGAAGGGTTATTCCTGAGACTGCCTTTTTTCACTTTACTGTTTATAACAAGATAAGCATATCTTTTAAAAGCAAATTTCTATTCAATTTCATGAAATCTTGTGAAACTTGACAAGAGTGACACAGAGATGTCAAATGTTGGATGAATATAAGTCATCAAGTTATGAATATCAGTATACATTAAAAATCAACTATTTACATTGGCACAAAATCCTTCTAGACGCAACGGCTCAGAATAAATATTGCTTTGACTAGAATCAAACTCGTTATGTTTTTTCTCTATAAACAAACCGTCTACATCTTCAGCCAATCTCACGTTATAAACCCTGTTAAATGCAATCACACAAACGTCCATTCGAGTGTAACATAAACACATGCAGAAATCGAAAAGGCAATATATGACTGCAATTTCTCTCTCTCCACTTTTTCGTTTTGTATACACAATGCCGCTACCGAAAGAGAGAGAGAGAGAGAGAGAGAGAGAGAGAGAGAGAGAGAGAGAGAGAGAGAGAGAGAGAGAGGAGAGAGAGAGAGAGAGAGAGAGAGAGAGAGAGAGAGAGAGAGAGAGAGAGAGAGAGAGAGAGAGAGAGAGAGAGAGAGAGAGAGAGAGAGAGAGAGAGAGAGAGAGAGAGAGAGAGAGAGAGAGAGAGAGAGAGAGAGAGAGAGAGAGAGAGAGAAACGTTTTCATGAACGACCAGACCACACATCCAAGACTTACGAAATCGCATAGGACTAATAACATCTATTTTGAGATTTCACATTGATGGCACCCGATTTGCACCTTGGAGACACTTAACGATTTAACAGCCAACTTATCCACGGAAAACCCAGTAGTTCGTGCACTTAAACCTGTAGTTGCTGCTTGGGTGATCGACTAATTATTTCCAAGACCATCCATTCGGTTTTTAATTATCTTCAAGCAGAAAAAAACTACTTCTGAAATGAGGTCAAAAATAAGCCAGTTATTCACAGCGCCAATATATTTTTTTCATAGGAGTTGAAAGTAAACGGGAACCAACAAGGACTCTCCCACGGCTGCATCGCTAGTTAAATCCCAACACAGGCCTTGATTAAAACTTTTTATCATGATTTGGCTTTATTACTAAAGGAAAATATATTCAGATATTTATGATATCTCTTTTATAAACTATAATTATAACATGTGCATATAGGAGGAAGAAAGAAGGGGAAAAAATAAACAGTGGGAAATCATGTAATTCCCGTGTGTTTGTGTGTGTATGTGTGTGTGCGTGTGTGTGTGTGTGTGTGTGTGTGGTGTGTGTGGTGTGTGTGTGTGTGTGTGTGTGTGTGTGTTGTGTGTGTGTGTGTGCGTGTGTGTGTGCGTGTGCGTGCGTGTGTGTGTGCGTGTTTGCGTGCGTGTGTGTGTGAGAGTGTCCGAGTTCAATGATCATGATTACTGTATATATACACGGAACACTGAAAACATCCATTTATGTTCTTATGCATCTTAAGAGTGAATATATTTTAAAATTTAAGAAATCCCGCGCTTTTAGCTTCATTCTGAGGATGGAATCTAAAATCAATTAAAATCTAAAACAAAACTAAACAGTCTGAGAGCAAATAGAGAAAGAACTAGAAGCACAGTACTTAGGAAAATATAGGGGGGTGGGGGGAGGCAAGCGGTGTGTAATTCAAATAAGAAACAGAATATGATGATATGGGCAAAGTGAAAGGTGATAATATGGGAGGAATGAATTATGATAATATGGGAAGACTGAAATATGATAATACGGGAAGAACGAAAGACGACATGGAAATAATTCAAATTCGATATGGAAATAATAAAATATATGGGAAGAAAGAAAAAGATTAATACGGGAAGAACGAAATACATGGAAATAATGAAATCCGATATGGAAATAATATGATATGGGAAGAAAGAAAAAAAAATTATACGGGAAGAACGAAATCATGGAAATAAAAAATATGATATGGGAAAAGAAAAAATTAATACGGAACGAAATAGATGGAAAAAAGTGATACGGAAAAAAAAAAAAATACGATTAATACGCAAAGAACAAAAGAAAGATCAAAGAACAAACGACACGCAAAGACACGAACAGGACACGCAAAGCAAACACGCGAAACACACGCAAAGAACGACACGCAAAGAACGAAACAGGACACGCAAAGAACGAAACAGGAACGAAACACGACACGCAAAGAACGAAACACGACACGCAAAGAACGAAACAGGACACGCAAAGAACGAAACACGACACGCAAAGAACGAAACACGACACAAAGAACGAAAAGAAACACGCAAAGAACGAAATACGAAATACATATATATTGAAAAAACAAAAAAAACGCAGAGCAAGCATGAGTGCGAAGGGCGGCCTCGATCCCTCACCGCCCCGCGCGTGCCGACGACGAGCAGCGTGGCCTCCCTCGGCGCCTTCTCGCCCTCCGACTGGTTCGGGTCCGCGCGGCGCCTCCGAGCCTCGCTCACGGCCGCGTCCCACACACTCAGGCCGCCGCTGGAGGGGTTCGTGGCGGCGACTCCTCGGCCGCTGCCCATGCTGGTCCTGCTGCCCACCCGCGCACTGCTCGCGCTGGCGCTGCCCACGCTGCAACGAAGGAAATTGGAGTTCTCAAAAGTTCATCTGCTCGTGACGCGGAGGGAGAGGCGGATAGGACTCTCTTGAAGGAAGAAACACGTTAGTTGAACGCCTGGCATGGGAGGGACCTCGAGCTGCTGAGGATGGAATGGACGAATTTAGAGATTGATTGAAATATACCCTCCAGTGAAAAATCTTATTTGTAATATGTCTATATATCTCTCTCTATATATAAACACACACACACACATACCCATACACACACACACACACACACATACACACACACACACACACACACACACACACACACACACACACACAACACACACACACACACACACACAAACACACACACCCACACACACACACACAAACACCACACGCACACACACACCCACACCACACACCCACACCCACATATATAAACATATACACTGATGACCAAGGCTACGGTCCCCCCCCCCCCCGACCGGCGGGTCAAAGCAGCGACAGACAAAGCCCGCGGCCCGAATGCCAAAGCCAGCGATGCGAATACGATCAAAATTTACCATAAAAAAAGAAGGTGCACACGAGTTACGAGCATCAACCTTGTTAACCTTTTATCGGGCGGCCCAAAACGCCCACCGCTGCCACGGCCAAGGCAGCGGCGGCTCAGCTGCCTCGCTCTTGTACTTTTACTTTGTGCAGAAGATAAGCAGACAGGCAGATGAGATGTGTGTTTGTGTTGTGTGTCGTATGCATGGATTTTTATGTTCGTATCTATCCTATTTGTTAATTACTCAATCAGTTAATCTATTTACATACATAGACAGATATAGACACACCCACACCACACACACACACACACACATACACACAAACACACACACACACACACACACACACCACACACACACACACACACACACATATATTATATATATATATATTATATATATATATATATATATATATATATATACATACGATACGTATGTTGTATATGAGTGTGTCTGTCTGTATATGTGTGTGACTTTATATCATCACGACTTGGCTATTTGGCTGTCTACTTCCATGTGTATGCACGCAAAGTAACCAATTTAGAAAGACTGAAGCTATACACGTCAAGCCGATTAAAACTAGTCTGATATAAATATTTGTGATTTCGGATAAACAAGAGATACGTTCCACCGGATTCCGACATTCCATTCTGTTCCCCGAGTGTAAGCACCACACAGCTGTTCCAAAGTACCATACACCCCATAGAGAGAGAGAAAAAAACGGCTACGTATCCTCTATTACACTAATCAAAAGTAGTGTAACAGTATACTTGCCACACAGCATTAAAACCTGTTACTGTGCACTTTACATCTTGCGGACCACGCTGTGTCTCAACACCTCCGATAAACATGGTACATAAAATGACATTAAAAAGCTGCATAGTTCATGATTACAAACTTACATTAAAAAAAAGCTGTATGGTTCATGACTACACACACTCGTACAGCAGGGAAAAGGACATAACACACCAGATCTAGAGCGAAAGGGACGGGTATGAAGTCACGCCATGTAGAGTCCGGTTGTGGGCGCGAGAGAGCTGGTCCAAAGGCAGTTAAAGAGGCGACACTTGAGTAGACTACTTATTATCCGAATTACTATCGAGTTCAGCAACATGCGGCCGTTATAAACCCCGGCTGCTCTCCTTTTTAAAAATTTAACCGTAAAGACGAAGGATAAAACACCATAGCGACGTTCTTCATTAACTCTACATCGTGTGTTCGAGATAACAACACTTAGAAAATATAAATAAAAGTTAAACCGTAAAAACGAAGGATAAAACACCATAGCGATGTTCTTTATTAACTCTACATCGTGTGTTCGAGATAACAACACTTAGTAAGTATAAACAAACCCCTACAACGGACACCCTACATCTTTATCATACCATCGCTGCTAAAACGAAGCCACGATCTATAATGTCTTGCTGTAACACGAGAGACTTTGTGTTCGACCGTTACGTTTTTTTTCATTTATTCATTTTTTTTATTTCTTTTACTCTTATTATCATATATATACATTCCTTGTTTTAGCGAGTCAGCAGCTGCCTGTCCCGAAGCCTAACCCGTCAACGTCTGGCTTATTCCGACTAAGTCATGGGTGTGGGAGCACTTGCTGGGGTCGAGGGGACGCGCGCCTTCCGCACCATGCCTCCTCATCCTCATTCATGCAATAAAGTGCCCTCCTTGAGCGTCATGCACACATGCACGAACGCGTCTCGGCCGTCCAACCGACTCCTCGGGATCCCCCCCCCCCCCCCCCGCAGTGCACAGGAACTCCCACGTCCTTCAGAACCGCCCAGAAGACGACGCCAGCGACTCCCATTGCCATTTCCGGCACTTCAAGCGCGAGTTTTCCCGCTTTCTCGACTTTTCTCTCTCGGCGCCGCTCCCGCCCGCCTCTCCGGCCTCTCCCGCCGCTCGCCGGTGGGCCGGCGCGGGAAGGAGGGGAGCGATATCTATTATCTAACGTGTGGTTGTGTCTACGCGGACACTTAACGCGCGCGCGCACACGCACGTATGTATGTATATATATATATATATATATATGTATGTATATATACATATATACATACATATATATAATATATATACATATACATATATATATATATGTATGTATATACACACACACACATACACACACACACACACACACACACACACACACACACATATATATATATATATATATATATATATATATATATATATATATATGTATATATAATATACATATACATATATATGTATGTATATGTATACATATGTGTGTGTGTGTTTCATGTGCAGGGTGATTTTCATTCAGGCAATGTTCCACTGAATAGAGAGATTCGAAAACCTCTAAGCGAAAAAAAAAAGAAAACAAAAAAAGAGAAAAAAAAAGTTCCGCCGGCACGCGATCCGCCGGCAAAAAGGCGGAAAAAATGTCACGATCCCCCCACCCCCGTCCCCTCCCCACGACACCCCACCCCACTCCTCCCCCTCCCTCCTCCGTCCGCCACGCTCGCCCAGCCGACCGCCGGACTCACGGATTTAGACCCGGTCGGGGCCATGCGGTCTTCAGCTGCGGTCACACTGGTCCCGGGTGGCAGCGGATCCTAGGGCAGGCACACGCACTATCGGGCGAGGAGGTCTAGGGTCGCGTTGGTCACACTAGGTCAGGTCATGTCGGTGAGGTTTGCGAAGACAAGGCCCTAAATCTGCTTTTTAGTTTCGCAAAGGACGTTATGTTTTTGGTAACGTTGGCTAGTTTGGTTGTTGGTTAACTTGATAACTCAAAAGGTTATGGACAGATTTTAATGAAATTTTACTAGAGGTATGTCTTGACCAAACTTAGATGCCGTTATTTTTGTTGTTGTTGTTGTTGTTGTGACTCGGATCATAATCTGGATCCAGGATTTTTTGTTTGTTTGTTGGTTAGCACAGGAACTCAAAAAGTTATGAATAGATTTTTATTAAATTTTTACCAGAGGTATATGTTAGCCCAACTTAGATGCCATTAAATTTAGGTGGTTATCCGGTACATATTTCGGTAATAATGTGATTAAGGGTGCATGGAAAAAGTAATTACGAGTTGATAATAATAACCTCAAAAAAGCGAATGTCATTACTCAAATTACGAGACAAATTGCATTAACTTTTATAAGTCTTACAGGCATGAAAGATCCCAATACCTGATATTTCAACAGAAATAGGAAATTCGACCATAAATTTTCTGACACCCCATGCAGGAATTAGTGTAACCAAGATACACAAAAAAAAAACGTATTTATAAGTAGATACTCTTAAGCTAAGAGGAGGCCTATATAATTACTGAAATTGATTCAAATATTTGCAATAACCGTCGATTCTTGA